TGTGTTGTTTTCTGGGCAGTGGCTCACACGGACCTGGAGATTCCTCAAGCCTTCCTAGCTTGAGCAAAAAGACAGCACGCAGAGCTCCCAAACCGGGCAAGCACTCAGATGGGGTGAGAGAAAGCGGGTAGCATTTAGGGGAGACAATTCTCACAAACATTTCTCATCTCAGAGACGTTACAGCTCCTGACGGCTTCAATCTTTCATTTTAGAGATTTCTATTGATTGGGTAAGAATCACACACGTTTCGTCCACAGCACAGAGATATCAAAGCAAACTTTTCCCCTAGTGCCATTTCCACAGGGGATAGGAATGATTGATTTTTATTGGTTCAGCTTCTAGGATACTCACATCTCAATCCAGCCAATTTTCTTTGGAGAGAGCCCACTCCAGTCCACTTAATTGTATTTTCTAACCAAAGAGTTGAGAGAGATTTGTCATCTTTACAGTCCAGAGGGGATGAATCTCCAGACTCCTCTCCCAATTGTGTGTGCCGGTTTCTGAAGCTGGTAATCGAAGAAGGGAGTCAGGCTTAGGGGAGACAAAAATCACATGAAATTATAAAGCTGAAAATACAGTGACTGAAATGCAAGCAAAAAAAGAAAAAAAAAAAACACCTAATCTGGGCATCATGAATTTCAAAGGTCTGAGAAGAAACAATTTGCTTTATGCTTTCAACTTTTATTGGGCAAAAATTACTATAACAGGGTTTTACTTGGATTTGAACAAAGAAAAATGATATATTCACTAAGGAAGTCATCCCCTCAATTGTCTGACACATCTTCCTTTATGTTTGCCTTCTGTTGGGGCTCACTCTGTTTCCCATGAACCTCTCATCACCCCAACCTCTGCTTACTTAACTTTCATTTAACTCATACCAAATTTCCCACATCTTCCTATCTCAGCAATAGCTTGCTCTGGGGTGTGAAAGTGAAGATCCAGAGAAAATTAAGAATGCTAACCTAGCTTGGAACTTTGGAAAAATTAATGCCCATGGTAAAGGGAAATCCTCCTCCATTCTCTTGGTAAATGGAAAAGGAGCCTAACTCAGAATGAGATTCTCTAGTACATGGACATTTTCCAGCACTCAATTATGCACTTTCTCCTATTACATATACAAGGAGCTATGACAGTTTCTTTACAATGAACTTCTCTTAGTCCATAGATTCTATAGTATGTTGCATCTTTCCATTTTGTACATCAATTTCTTCTCATCTTTCCTATTATATTGCAGTATTCCTGAGAACCAAATAACTGTTTCTTAGCTTCTTCTACAGCAACACAAAAACAAAAAACTCCCCACAATATTGGGCGAGACTGAAAATGTTACAAGATAATGTTACAAAGTGATAATATCATTTATGATATTTTTAATAAATTTTTGTCACAATAAATTGTACAACCAAAGAAGTACTAGACTTCAAAGAACTCACCAAAGAGTTGCTTGATGATTTCCTTTTTCTTTCTTTTCTTTCCTTTTTCTTTCTTTCTCTTTCTCTCTCTTTTTCCCCCTCCTCTCTCTCTCTCTTTCCTTTTTTTGTAACTTTCACAGACACTTTGTAAACCCCAGAAAAGGTTAGCTAATGTTCAATCACAATTTTCAATACATTGTTATTAGTTTATTTTTTACCTATGTTTTCATACTACTAAACTGCTTTATTTATCCCACTGGCTCAAAATTATTTTTTGATGACTTCAAAAATTACTTCCAATGATTCCCTTCAAGAAAACACTTTACCTCTAGAAAAGTAAAACAATGGAGCAGGCTATCCTCAAATTGGAACACAATAAATTTTGACCATTGATAACTGCAGTCAATTCCATCAAGGTGCAATCAATTCCATCAATTCCAAACTAAAACAATGGAACAGGCTATCCTCAAACTGGAACACAGTATATTTTGACCATTGATAACTGCAATCAATTCCATCAAGGACACCAACCAATTTTCTGTGAGACTGCCCGAGAGTCCTACAATTCAGCTCAATTCTGATACTATCTATCTGGACAGAGCATCAGATTCCACAGGTTAAGGGCTCAGTCCTACAAGACTGCCCCTCCCCCTTAAACATCAATCACAAGTCCCACTTGTCACCTAGGTCTGTAACCAACTGGCTACAGATTGAAGGTTCCAACACTCCCTCCTCCTCAGGTTTGGTTAATTTGCTAGAGTGGTTTACTGAATCAGAATAACATTTTCCTTACTAGATTATGTTTCCTTACTAGATTATGGGGCTTCCCTCATAACTCAGCTGGTAAAGAATCCGCCTCCAATGCAGGAGACCCTGGTTTGATTCCTGGGTTGGGAAGATCCTCTGGAGAAGGGATAGGCTACCCAATCCAGTATTCTTGGGCTTGCCTGATGGCTCAGCTGGTAAAGAATACTCCTGCAATGTGGGAGACCTGGGTTCGATAACCGGGTTGGGAAGATCCCCTGGAGAGCAGAAAGGCTACCCACTCCAGTATTCTGGCCTGGAGAATTCCATGGACTATAGTCCATGGGGTCGCAAAGAGTCAGACATGACTGAGTGACTTTCACTTTCACTTTTCACTTACTAGATTATTAGTTTATTATGAAAGGGCATCACTTTCTCTGCAAGTGTGCCATTTTGGCCAAATTTCCATTTGTTCACCAACTAAGAAGCTTTCCAAAGCCCATCATTTTGGCTTTTTATGGTGGTTTCATTGCGTAGGCATAACAGGTCAAATCACTGGCCACTGAGGATTGATTCTTCCTTGGGGGGTGTGAAAATCTCTGCTCATGGTCCAACATCCTTGAAGTTAACTTCTATATGCAAGGTAAGATCAGTGCCTTTGGCACTACAACTGTAAACACAGCACATTCTTGGTCCTCAAGGAGTATTACTGTCTACAGGCAAAGAGGAGGTGCTTACTCAAATATCTTTAAAAGAAGAGAGAAATTGTTTCTGTGAGTGAAATGTATATGTGCTAGGAGAGAAAACAGGAAAGAGGCAGTTGTTAGTTTAGTTGTGTATGCTGTGGGCAAGGAGAGCCTAACAGAAGTTCTCACGAACGGAAACTTTCAATATCTGTATCCATCATTTAGGTAAAGCTACAGAAGACAGGCTTCTTGAATTTGTGAGTAACACAGAGCAGGGTGTGATGACCAGGAAACAGATTAGCAAAATCAAGATTCTGAAAGGATTCTACAAACCCAAATGACAGGAAAAGTCAACAAGATGAATCTACACAGTTATGAATGTGGAGTAACGAATGGGTTCACAGCAGGGCTTATGGGGGAGAGACCACAAGAATTGTAGCAGATCACATAAACTCAAGAGCCATAAAATTTCATCCCAATATTCCTCCCAGGGCTCTTTCAAACCCCTTCACGTACCTGCTCACCTCTGAGGTTCACACAAACTCCATGAGGGATGCAGCAGGCAAGTTTTACTATTCCCACTTTAGCAGGGGGACATGGTCACAGAGCATAAATAACTTGACCAAGATTCTGTAGCAACTTAAAAAAAGTGAGAACCAAGCTTTCCTGGTGACTCAGACAGTAAAGAATCTGCCTGCAATAGAGTTCAATCCTTGGGTTTGGAAGATCCCATGGAGAAGGAAATGGCAACCCACTCCAGTACTCTTGCCTCAAGAATCCCATGGACAGAGGAGCCTGTCTGGCTACAGTCCATGGGGTTGCGAAGAGTCGAACACAACTGAGCAACTAACCTTTCACTTTCTTTCACCTTTGATCACATAGATTTGATCACACAGAATAACTTCACAATCAAGGAATCTCAACAACAATCAGAATTCCGTGGTCAGTTTCAGGCACATTTTATAATTTTATAAAGGATGTTGACAATAAAGGATCCCTCCATCCAGTGGAGGTAGTTAGGATGATGAAACCTCTGGACACCATGGCATATAAGAAATGTTTGGAGGAGTTTTGCCAAGAACAGAAAAGACATAAGAACTACTCTCTGCAAATATCTGAGGATCCGTGATGCGGAAAAGGATTAGACTCATCTGTGAAGGTTCACGGGGCAGAAGCAACACAACTGTATGAAAGTGACAGCAAGAGGAAGATCTCAGATACTGTAAAGGAGGGCATTCTATCACTCAGAAGTAGGAAAGATGAGCCTGCAAAAGAGCAAACCCACCATTCCTGGGCAGGTTAGAGAATAGGCTGCGAACAGCCATAAACTGCAGTCGTTGAAGGAATTCCTGCCTAAAAATAAAACCTTCATGGCATCTCAGATCTCTTGCAGCTGAAAGACTCTATTACTTAAATAAAAAACTACTTCACTCGGAAATTGACATCCCAATGCCAGATCTTCAAAATATGCTTAAAGAACATGCTGACAACATGAGTTAGCACCATCTTCATCTGGGTCATAAAACCATCATAAATAGTCATAAGGCCATTCACATGTCATGATTTTTGCCATTTGCTAGTCTTCATAACCCTCCATAAATGAGAAAGGGGCTTAAATGACTATCCCAGAGAAGTGAAGTGACAAGTTTAAGGTGATGTGGCAAGTTAGTAGTGAAATCAGAGCCAGAAAACTAGTCTTCCCTTAGATTTACTGAGATCTCAGTAACAATATTAGTTTAAAAAAAATTGACTACTATTTATAGCTCTTACTATGGGACAGTTAATTCTTTAAACACTTTACATCAGTGATGTCACTCAACCTTCACAAAAACCTATCAGATGAGAACTATTACATCCCCATTCTATAGGTTAAGAACGTAAGAGCAGAGAGGTTAAGTAACTCACCTAAGATAACAGGTCCTACGTGGCAGGGTGAGATTTCAAACTTAGGCAATCTGACTCCAAACCCATTACTTTCAACCACTAGGCTTTGTTTTCCTTCTAGAAATTGTTTTATTTGTGTGAGAGAAAGGGGAAGTCCCCATATTTATACATCACAGCTTCTGTGGAATGTGTTGCCAAAGGAGCCAGATAAGAAGGTTTGGAAGCCATGATACCCAGGAAAGACTCTACCTTAGGAGACATCTCCCTGCCTCCTTCAGCTCATCCCTCCCGATATGAAGGATGGCTGCAGACGCTTCTCCTCAGCGGTGGGATGACGGAAATGAACGGAGCAAGCTGCAAACTTGAGACTCAGCGGTTCTGATAACCAGACCGGACTGAAACGTGGCCGAGGTTCAGGCAAACTCTGTGACGGAGGGGGTGGTCCACAGAAGAGCAGAAGGCAGAATCCACGTTTGACCCTTTACCGGAGAGAGAGAAAGACAAAACTGAAATTATGGGTACCACAGATAACTGTTTATCCCTTTCCAGCACAACAAGCAAATAAACTGCCATTGGTGCCTCCAAACTTCATACAGGGTAATATTCCTTTAATGGAATGCTTTTAGAGAAGAGTCATAAAAATAAATTGAAAAGTGCTTTCTGCTGGCTACAGCTGGCATAAGCAGCATCTGAGCAAACAGGATAACACAAGGCTTAACTTAGCATCGCCATTTTTATTACTCACCCACGACAGGTCTTATAATAGTATAAATTCACTTAAAAAACGGACTCTTTTCCCCATCACCGCCCCTCCTCTCTAGCACCGCGCACCCAACAGCCCCCTGTGTTCATTCTGAGCAGCATAAATACAGGTCTTTTTATGATTTAGGTTTGAGACCTATTAGCTGATACTGCAAGCCTTTCAAATGCCAGCTTCCTCTCTTGGCACTCCCTGTTCTGCTGGGATTTACCTGAGTGCTTGTAAAAGGCAAATGTTTTGCGAGGAACGGAGAACTCCGGTCTGTTGGTGGATGGGTTCCCTCCTCCCCTCTCTTGCTCTCATCTGCCCCTGCATCTTGGGTGCGCCTGGTCTCTAAAATTGGCACAGTGTGAAATGCGCACTGAACATGCATGCCGGGTGCCCAGGCTGCTGCTGAGAGCAGGTCGTCGCGTGGTTGGGCCGCCAGCGGCTGCCTCCTCCAATCGCCTTTCCTGTAGGCGGAGCTGCAGCTCCGCGCTGCGCGGCGCTCCGCCGCCATTTTGAAGCCCGGTAGCCATGAGGGGTGAAGAGTTGAAGACTTTGGAAAGGCACCACCCGAGAGCCTGGCCTCCTCCACTGGCCCTGTCCCTCACGTCTTCCACTCCGCAGTCATCACAGAGTAAGGCTACAGCAGTCGTCATAACGTCAGATATTCAGCAGAGATCCCCGTCATCCACCAACCAGCATGCGCTGCATACAGCCCTGTGCACCACTGGAGGATTCAAGGGTGAATAAGGTTCCCTGCTCGCAGTGTGTTTTCAACTGAATGTAAGGAGGCTCAACTTACTCACATAAAAAGAATGACTTAGAATACAAGGCAGCATGTGGAAAGTGCTCTGTGGAATAGACAGTAAGTTCAAAGAAAGATTTTGCCACAGGGACCTGAGCGAGCAGAGTCTCTAGCCATCTACTCTGTAGCAAGTGCTTTACAAATTGTGTTCAATCCTTATACAACCCTTTAAGATACATATAATATATATAATTATAATCCTTTAAGGTATATACAAGGCTTCTTTGGTGGCTCAGACCATAAAGAATCTGCCTGCAATGCAGGAGACCTGGGCTTCATCCCTGGGTCAGGAAGATCCCCTGGAAAAGGGAATGGCAACCCACTCCAGTATTTTTTCCTGGAGAAGCCCATGGACAGAGTCTGGCAGGCTGCAGTCCATGGTGTCCCAAAGAGGGAGACAGGACCCAGCGACTAATACTTTAACTTTTAGTTTCAAGGTATATGTAATTATATGTTATACCTGAAGCATTTTCAAGATTAAAAAAAAAGCTTGGCAAAATTAGGTAACGTTTCCAAGATCACACAACTAGTAAGTGACAAAAACTGAAATTGTGATTTCTGGTGTGACACTGAAAGCTTTACCATCATATCATGTTTCCTCCCTACAGATCAGCAGAGATGAAGTTTAGTGTACGTTCTGCTGGTGGTTGTGGGATGGTTGTAGAAGGAAGTATAAAAATATTCAAGAAAGGAAAAGTGGACTAATTTGGATAGAATAGAGGAATTAAGAAGTCCATAAAATACACAATATGAATCTAGAAAGGGATTTACAAAGCTAACCTGAGATACATTATTAAATTAACAGTCCAACAATATTTTGGGGTATTACATAGCCATTAAAAAAACTCTGAAGACTAGGTAGAATTATGAAAGATGCTATTGCTATAGTGTTAAGTAAATGAAATAATGGGAAGATAAAGCAGGATACAAAGTACTTTCTGGTTGCAACAATGTGGAAGTAAGTACTGATAGGGTTTTTACATAAAACTTTTAGTTAATATTGTTTAAGAGGAAAAAAACAAGTCCATCCCCTGGGCATATGCATGACTATATTTACACTTTTCCAGACAGATGGTTTTCTTCCCTCTTCTAACAGATTTCCATGGAGAGAAATCTAATGCCCTCACTGTGTTATTTTAGTGCCTTGCAACCCCATTTCCTCAAGTCTAGCCTCCATCCCCCTACTGATGCAGTTTCACCAGACAGTTGGCTTCTGTCTCTGTGAGCTAACCACTGGCTTAAAATTTTTAACATGCTTTGGGTTCCAGAGACAATGCAAGATTGACATTCCCCTCAGCTCTCTTTTTATATTCTGAACCCTAGCTCTGATGGTACTCTTGATACAACTGAGAAGGTAGAAGGAAGGGAACTGGTGATTTAAAAAATGAAAGAATCTAAGCATCATAACTTACCAAACCTATTATTTTCTTCTACTTCTTTCATGCTACTTACAATGATTCCACTTAATCTCCCAATATCATTCATATCTAGTACTTGAAAAGCTCCCTTACTCTCTAAAATCTGTCTCTACTATTTACCAGTGATAGTGTTGTTGTTGGTCAGTCACTCAGTCATGTCCAATTCTTTGCGACTCCATGGACTGCAGGACACCAGGCTTTCTTGTCCTTCACTATCTTCCTGAATTTGCTGAAACTGATTTCCATTCAGTCAATGATGCCATCCAACCATCTCATCCTCTGTTGCCCCCTTCTCCTCCTGCCCTCAGTCTTTCCCAGAATCAGGGTCTTTTCCAATGAGTCAGCTCTTTGCATCAGGTGGCCAAAGTTTTGGAGCTTTAACTTCAGCATCAGTCCTTCCAATGGCTATTCAGGACTGATTTCCTTTAGGATTGACTGGTTTGAGCTCCTTGCTGTCCAAGGGACTCTCTCTCAACAGTCTTCTCCAGCACCAGAGTTCAAAAGCATCAATTTTTTGGTGCTCAGCCTTCTTTATGGTCCAACTGTTTCATCCATACATGACTACTGAAAAAACTGTAACTTTGACAATATGAACCATTGTTGGCAAAGTGATGTTTTTGCTTTTTAATACACTGTCTAGGTTTGTCATAGCTTTTCCTCCAAGGAACAAGTGTCTTTTAATTTCAAGGCTGCAGTCACCATCCACAGTGATTTTTGGAGTCCAAGAATATAAAGTTTGTCACTGTTTCCATTGTTTCCCCATCTATTTGCCATGAAGTGATGGGATTGGATGCCATAATCTTGGGTTTTTGAATGTGGAGTTTTAAGCCAGCTTTTTCTCTCTCGTCTTTCATCTCCATCAAGTTCTGTTTTTTCCCTTTAGGTCCTTTTTGCTTTCTGCCATTAGGGTGGTGTCATCTGCATATCTGAGGTTATTGATATTTCTCCCGGCAGTCTTGATTCCAGCTTGTGCTTCTTCCAGCCCAGAGTTTCTCATGATGTACTTTGCATATAAGTTAAATAAGCAGGGTGACAATATGTAGCCTTGATGTTCTCCTTTCCCAATTTGGAACCAGTCAGTTGTTTCATGTCCAGTTCTAACTGTTGCTTTTTGACCTGCATGCAGATTTCTCAGGAGGCAGGTCAGGTGGTCTGGTATTCCCATCTCATCAAGAATTTTCCACAGTTTGTTGTGATCCACACAGTCTAAGGCTTTGTAGTCAGTGAAGCAGAAGTAGAACTTTTCTGGAATTCTCTTGCTTCTTCTAGCAGATGTTGGCAGTTTCATCTCTGGTTCCTCTGTCTTTTCTAAATACAGATTGTACATTTGGAAGTTTTCAGTTCACGTACTGTTGAGGCCTAGCTTGAAGGATTTTGATCATTGGCTTGCTAGTATGTGAAGTGAGTGCAATTGTGCAGTATTTTGAACATTCTTTGGCTTTGCCCTTACTTGGTATTGCAAGGAAAACTTTCCTTTCAGATGTCATTACTATTATCACTTTACATCTTCCCATCTAGCCTCATGCCAGAATAGTATGACTCTTGACAAAGTTAAATAAACCCCACCCATTTCCTTTTATGAGTAGATATCAATAAGCCCTATTAAGAGAGTTCTTTGCCCATTCTGATTCTCTGTTCCCAGGATAGTACTGAGCTCTACCATACTTAGTCACTGCTAAGATGGGAAAATGAAACCATAGCCTTGAATCAAAAGGGTTATATGACAGGATATGAGTAGATCAGCAGAGATAGATAGATGAATGGATAGATAGATAGATAATAGATAGAGATAAATACAAGCCAGGGTCACCTAAGCAAAAAAAGGAATTCTGTGAAGCAAAGTTAATAACCAAACCCTTTGGTAAGTCCCCAGATCTGTGGCAGCCAAATGGGAAAGGCAAAGCCAGAAGAGAAATCTGAGCTCAAGAACCAGCTGTAGAATTTTCCGAGAGAAAGTCAGAATCCTATGTAAGGAGTGGCTGAGTTATTTGGGTGCATTAAATTTTGTCGCTGCCCCTTTGCAAGGTCCATGATTTCCCCCTTCCCTTGTCTCACTAGGAGGCAGCCTGAACCAGACACCAGACCCTCACACAGGAGGAAGTGTGACACCATCAGCTGTCAGGCCCTTGTACTTTCCCGAGATGCCCCCTTTCCTCCCTCTGACCCCCACCCACATCCTGCCTGATCCCATTGCACTGCCTGTCACTGCTCCACACTTGAGGGCTGCCTGTCTCCGGAGTGCAGCGGCCCACTTTCTCTGACATGCTCTCAGTCACTCACAAAACTCGTTCTTTGTCACGTTATCCCCAGCACCCCTTGGCAATTTGTAACTCCATCTTCAAGGCTCCTGCAGCATTTTGTCAGAGGGCTTATCAACATGTTATAATTGCTTGCCTAGATGTCCCTTATAGACTGACTACTTCTCTTGTTCATTTCTGGATCCTCATGCTTAGCATTTTTCTTGGCATACCATAGGTACTCAATGTATATGTCTTAGATGAATGAATCAAA